ATATATATATATATATTTCTTTTCCATCTGCTTTCGGTGCCAGATGCACCCCCCCCTTTTTTTTCCACGTGGTGTCAGCACCACTTTGGTCCACTACACCAACGGAAGCCGTTACATTCCTAGGAAATCCAGTCACCCAAAGAATAACTACCCCAACTACCTTAACCTCTTCAGTTCCCAACTCTAACCTAAAAATTTACACTCTTTATCTCCTAAACTCTATCACCAGAAACATAGCTATCCTCTGCTCCACGAAGCCAGACACCGCCGACAACGAAAAACCACCATATTCGACCGACTATATACATATATAGAAAGGCCCAGCTTTTAGGTTGTCTTCAATCCAAGCCCGAATATATAGAAAGGTTCGTGCCCCAAGTAGTGAACTACTTGATGGTTTGATGAGGATTTAGAGAAAGGAACGCAATGATCCACCTTTGGATTCTTGAAGGCTGAATAGTCTTCAATGCATTGCAAAATAATTGGCAAACCACAAAAAACTTTTAGGGTATGTCTGGGTGAGGGACTTTCAAGTTCTCAGAAATTCTCCGCAATCGTGCGCATGGGTTATTCACTTCAAATTATTTCTGCCTTGATCGTCTCTCCCCCCCCCCCCCCCGGCTTGTGGATTCGTCTACTATTTGACCAAGTATTGAGGATGAAGTTCTTGATGCAAATGATCGCTGAAGTTTTTGCTTCCCATATCTGCTGCCAAGCAAATTCGGTTATCGTCTTGCTAAATTCGCCCTCCACTCGGGGGTGATTGTACTTGGTTTGATGAATCTCCTATCATTATTTGTGATCTTCTTCTTGAGGAGTACCTCTCCATTCCTTGTACTATTTAGTTTGTCGGGCTTTTGAAATGAAATGAAATGAGATATCGCATTTTTCTTCAAAAAAAACAAATCCCCCCATGTAAATACTATCATCTTTGTACTGTCTTTATACTGTCAAATTCTTCTCCAAATTTCTTGACGGTTATGCAAAATGATGAAGAAATGGAAGTAGAAAGTTAGAAGGAATTAAAAAATACACTACATGTATATTACAAAGATATATAAGAGGGATTATAAATGACTCATTCTAAATAACCACGAACGTTTTACGGTTAAATCATGTGCCGGCTAAACTTCAAAGAAGCGTGATTTTTGTCATCAATGAGTTTGGGACAAGGACTTCTTGACTCGGAATTTGGAATTTCAATCCAGGCCATCGTCTACCTAATTAAGCATTCCTCCATACCAGGCCACCAGCCCAGAATCCCAGATGCTTGTACTGTAGATGACCCCTGTTTTCGTTGCCAATATATATGAGAAGGGAGCCTTTGCACTATGATATTGGTGTGTTTGAGATGAAAATAAGAAAGGGTTTTATTGTGTATTTCTCTATGACATTACTATTTTCCTATAATGTTATTTGCATTTCAAAGAAGTTATAATATACACCTTTTCTTAGCGAAAAAAAAAAAAAACGAAAGTTAACCCTAACATTGTATATATGTTACTACTCCTGCACTTTGCACTTTAAATCACTAGTGCACATTTATGTGTCTTTATAGTGATACACTATATAGAAAGTACCTCCATCTAGCTAGTCATTTTAGTTCCAACTTGAGCCAGTTCTGTATAAGAATAAATTTCACATAATTTTTCTAAGTTCCGTCTTAAGAAACTTACCTCAAGATAGTAATTATCATTAAGTCTATAAATATGAAATGTCACCAAAAAAAAATTAAGATGAAATAAAATATTTTTCTAAATTGTCCAGAACAATATTTTATTTATTAGGGTCAATGTTATGTCTTTGAGCTTGCACATACTTAATAACTCGTAACATGGCACGTTGTTGTTGTTCCAGCCAAAATGTTTCTAACTTCTCAAGCATGTTTACAACTTTTAGAATTAAATTTTTGGCATTAAATTGAACAACGCTACATTATGTAGTTTTTTTGTATAAATTCATACATACATACAGCAGCTATTAGAGACTAGATGTCTCCCTTTTCCAGTGGTATATTTTGAAAATGAGTAATGCTATTCATACTGTTTATACCATATTTAGGGCCTCTGTAACGACCCAAAATTCCTAATTCGGAAGCTAATTATTAAGATAGGCCCAAATTATTTTTCTTAGCCAACTTTCAAGAAAAGAATGATCTCAATTATTTTATTAACCACAACAAATTTCTTTCGTTAAAGAAAACCAACACAATATTTAATTTGGGTTATTATTATTATTATTATTATTTTATTTATTTATATGTGGCTGCATCTAACCGTCTCGTTAGACTGCCTACATACCCTACGAAGGGATCAAGCCATTCGTAGTTCGTCGTTTGTAAGAGATTTTTCACACACATCACTTAAGCATTTGAACAGATTTCTTATGAGTCTATGACATTTATTCATGCTTGTTAGAATTGAACATGTTACCCAAAAAGAACAACATGACTATTATTTCCCTAGGGCGTAGTTTGTCCATTTCATTCCGTTTTCCATTCAGTTCTCATGTTGTTTCTTAAGTCCATAAACATGCCGTAATGGACATTTGTTTCAATAATAATAAATCCAAACAAATTTCAAGTTTACTCTTCTCTTACGAAAATCCAATTTCTTCAAATACTTAAACCCAATTAGAATTGATTCATTTTTTTCTATGCCACTCCAGCATGACAACAAAACCCAATTGCATGTACCAAAAACCAACAAATTTCACCTATCAACTTACAGAAAATTTAACCAGAAAAAGAAAAGTAACAAAGCAAAATAACCCACACCTGAATCGAAGCATGATACGACCTTCATCTAAAACAACAACAGGAGCAATCCACGTAATATAAGAATAGAGCCAATTCATATTCAGATTGCAGGAGGTTTGAAAGGAGGATGTGTCTCCAACTCGCTGGAGTTCGCCCATTTTCATGGTTTTGGTAGCTTGGATGGTCTGCTTCGAAAATACTATGTCTTACAGTGCACCGATGGTGAATGCAAGAACCCAGTCGCGTTGTACATGCTCTATAGATTCGAGATATATGGTTTTGAGGTTAGATTATTCAAGGAAATGGTGGTGATGGTGGCTAGTTTACCACGGTGCCAGAGAGAGATGGAGAGTTTTTCGGAAATATGAGGACTCCCCCGGAACCCCCTGCATGTCAAGTGGCAAATTCACCCGTATAGCTATCTTGCCTGTATCACATGTGAAACTTGGGAATCTCCCCCCACACGCACACACACACACACCTAAATATATTTTTCCTACTTAACAATAAATTTTTTTTTTCCACATAATCCTATATTTTTAATTTTTTTTCCAAGGTATTACAGCCTCCGTATTTAGATCTCGTACAAATACTCGGGGGACTTAAATGTAATTATGTGATAAAGGAAGGGGCAAATATGTAATAAGTGAGGAGTCCTTATTCTATAAAAGGACCCCTCACCCTCACAATTAAAGGAGCCCATTTCCTAGGCCCTATCACCCCCTCTTAAAGCTCTCACTCTCAAAGCTCTCTCTCCCTCAGATAAATACATAATCAGTGTGGATGTAGCCCAAACATTAGGGTGAACCACGATACATCTTGTGTTATTTACATTTCTTGCAGATTCACGGTCGGATTTACGTTGTTTCAAGACCTCCGGTTTTGTGCATCAACATTTGGCGCCGTCTATGGGAATCGATACAAAAAACTATGTCGGTTCTCTTTCATTTTTTCACTTTGACCGTGAATCTGCAAAATCTGCAGAAACCTAGAAACTCCCTAAACAACAGTTTATTCTCTTTCCTGGGCTTCTTCCAGAAAACCACAATTTATTCTCTCTCTCTAAACAATACTTCCCCAAAGAGGCCAAAATACCCAAATTGGATGATCCAATCGCCAACACCCCCCGCCCCCTAAATTGGATGTACCAATCCTCTGAGTGCCCCTTAATCATCGACCCAGAATTCAATTGCCAAATGAAAGGCCACCCGGGCACAGGAAAATCCACCCTGGCCCACTCTTTATCCTCCACCTTCAAATTCCCGCTCATCGACAAAGACGATGTGCGCGACAAGCTCCAAGCTCTCCAGTCCCACCCCGCCGCCGTTTTCTTCCTGCTCAACGACACGTCCTACAGCGTCGTCTGGCAAATTACGTTCATGTAGCTCCGCCTGGACCTCAGCGTCATCGTCGACTCGCCCCTATTCCATAGAGCCCACATTGAGCACCTGACCCAGCTAGCGGTGTTGTGCGGGGCTCGTATGCTGGTCGTGGAGTGCAATCCTCAGGATGAGGCTGAGTGGCGCTGGAGGCTCAAGCGCTGCGTTGCGGCTGAGGTTGGATCATCCATCCGTGACTTTATCTTCGTAAACTTCTTCATCATCGGCCTCTCGATCTCCCTTTTCCTATTTCTCATCGTCATCATCCGCAGTAACGACAAGATTGAATTCCCGGATTTGGACGGTGAGCCGTGGAAGCAGGGGTAGCGGGTGAGCTATAAAGGGGATGAATGGGACTCTGAGAAGTTGGAGGTGTTTGTGGTGCCCCATTCGCATAACGATCCCGGCTGGAAGCTTACAGTCGAATAGTACTAAGATAGGCAACCCAGGCATATTCTTGACACCATTGTCGATACGCTTTCTAAGGATTCCCAGCGCAGTATATATGGGAAGAGATGTCTTATCTGGAAAGATGGTAGAGGGACTCCTCTGATCTTAAAAAGGAGTCATTCACAAATTTGGTGAAGAATGGTCAGCTAGAAATTGTTGGAAATGGCTGGGTAGTGAACGATGAGGCTGCTCCAAAGGGAAAGGTGGACCCTTTCTCTTGCTCAACTCTGCCCAACTCTGCCCAAATGGGCCCTCTTTCTTGACTGATGTCATCCTTGTCGTGAAAACCTCCATTGGCGGCACTCGCATCTGAGCTTTCTAAAAGTGGTTCAAAAGAGAGAGCACCACTAGTCTTTATGATTTGAATCCCAATGGTTTTGTTACACTTGACATTAATTCTTGCGATGTAAATAATGAGGTTCACGAGCAATGCCACGAGAAAAGGGTATTGGTCGAGAGTTCCTGTCAGCTGGTTTTTATCCTTGGGATGGGAAGATTCTCCGTTGACCTCTCCATCAACACCAACGACGACATTAATTTTCGTCGACAACCACGCCCAGCACGACTCCGTCAAGCAGAAGGAGGCTAAGAACGACAAGTGGCACAGGGTGGAGAGGAGCAGCGGCAAGTTCATAAGGAGGTTCAGGCTGCCGGAGAACGCGAAGATTGATCAGGTGAAAGCAGCGATGGAGAATGGGGTGCTGACTGTGACTGTGTGTAAAGAGGAAAAGAGAAGAAAGACAAGTCCATGCCCCCGCCATCTGCAATCTGCAAAGTAAAGCAAAGTAAAGAGAACTTTACTTTTGTCTGCCATCTGCAAAGGCTAAAGCACCTGGACCTCAGCAAAGAAATAATAAATGCAGTAAAAGCAAAAGAAAGGCACAGTGGGAAATAGGAACAAAAGCAAATAAAAAAAAAACCAAAAGCAGAAAGCAAACGAGAAAGCAAAAGCAAGGAATAAACACCCCACCAGAATGATGTAATTTATTTTCCTTATCTTTCGGAAACATCTGTATAAACCCCATCAGAGGCTAATAAAAAAAAGGGCAAAGCCCAAAATAAATGGGCTGGAATGTTGTGTAGAGGGCGAAGACCCATAAGCCCAAAATAGCTCCAACCAGGCGATCAAAAGTACGCTCAGTACTCCACAATTATTCGGCAACCTGCCGCTATTACCACCAACCAGGTGATCAAAAGTACACCCAGTACTCCACAATTATTCGGCAACCTGCCGCTATTACCACCAACCAGGTGATGAAATGTACAACCCGTACTCTAATATCATTTGGTAACTAGCCATTCATGCCACCAACCAAGTGATGAAATGTACAACCCGTACTCTAAATATCATTTGGCAACTAGCCATTCATGCCACCAACTAGGTGATGAAATGTACAACCCGTACTCTCCTTGATGCCACCAACCAGGTGATCAAAAGTACGCCCAGTACTCCAAATTATACATGAGCATTACTCATGTCATTCATACATAAACATTCATGAGCATCACTCATATCAATCATATATAAACATTCATGAGCATCACTCATGTCAACATCCATGAACATCACTCATGTCAATCAAACATTCATGAGCATCACTCATGTCTACCAGCTTTAAAAGCTTCATTTACAGAGCTCTAACTTCAAAAGCTTAATTTACAAAGTTCTAACTTCAAAAGCTTCATTTACAAAAGCTCCAGCTTCGAAAGCGTCATTTACAGAGGTCTAGCTTCAAAAGCTTCATTTACAAAAGCTCTAGCTTTAAAAGCTTCATTTACAGAGCTCTAGCTTCAAAAATTTCATTTACAAAAGCTCTAGCTTCAAAAGCTTCATTTACAGAGCTCCAACTTCAAAGCTTCACTTGCAAAGCTTCACCTACAAAGCTTCAGTGCAGGGTATACAAATACCGCCTCCGAACAACCGCCTCTTCGACCCATACATGGATTCAATTTGAAGTCTCCAGCCAACATACTCTATTGACCGAAGACTTGGGGGACTACACTATACATTATATATTGGGCCTCAACTGGGCCTCATAAAAAATACTTGGGGGACTTAGCCTATTATTTATGTACTAAGGAGCGAGCCCTTATTTTATAAAAATGACTCATTCACTTTCATTAGAGAGCATCCATTATTCATGTACTAAGGAGCGAGACCTTATTTTATAAAAGGAACTCCCTCACCTTCATTAGAGAGCATCGCCGCCTGCTGAGCAACCGTCTCGCCGCGAACATCACTCCTAACCCATCATTCATGTATTGAGGAGCGAGCCCTTATTCTATAAAAGGGACTCCATCACCTTTATTAGAGAGTATCAACTCTAGCCCATCATTCATGTAATGAAAAGCGAGCCCTTATTCTATAAAAGGGACTCCCTCACCGTCAACGCCACAAGCCGAGTCAACCAAGGCAACATAAGCCATGAGCCTCGCAGCCTCGCATCATGTGTTACTTCTAGTTGAACATCATTTCAGATTGAGCACCGCCTCATATTAAACATCAGTTCAAAGCAACATCTAGTTACTTCGGCCCACACATACACTGAATTTCAAGTCTCCAGCCAAAAGACTCTCTTGACTGAAGACCTGGGGGACTACTGTTTATACCATATTTAGGGCCTCCGTATTTAGATCTTGTACAAATACTTGGGGGACTTAAATGTAATTATGTAATAAAGGAAGGGGCAAATATGTAAATGGTGAGGAGTCCTTATTCTATAAAATGACCCATCACCCTCACAATTAAGGGAGGCCATTTCCTAGGCCATCTCACCCCCTCTCAAAGCTCTCACTCTCAGAGCTCTCTCTCCCTCAGATAAATACATAATCAGTGTGGACGTAGCCCAAACCTTGGGGTGAATCACGATACATCTTGTGTTATATACATTTCTTGCAGATTCACGGTCGGATTTACGTTGTTCCAAGACCTCCGGTTTTGTGCATCAACACATACTATGTTTTGTACCAAATTTTCATACCATCATAGGTGACATTTAATGTGGATAGCTATATCATTTGAATTAATCAGATTTTGCAAATGAGTAATGCTAAACTACTAATGTAGTTATTTGTATTCAGACAACTTTCAATAAATGATGACTAAGTAAAAAAAATAAAAGTTTAGCTGCACCTCTATTAACTAATAACCTCTTTATGGTCATAAATAGATTTGATCTCAACATATAACTATACAGAACTTTTATTGTATTCAAATTATTGGGGTTTTTGAACTTTAATTCTTTGAGAAGATTAAAATTTAATAAAAATTTGGTGTTAGATTGAATATTAATTTTAGTCCCTTAATGTGTACTTTATTCAAATTCATATTATATTTTTGTTTTTATATTTAATAGATAACATATTTAATGTTATTACATTAAATTTTAAATTTATTATTATACACATTTTAATTCATTAATTTTATTTAACTTTCTCTAATTAGTGGGCCTAAACGTCTGTATCATAATATATTTTACTAAATTAGTGTACCGAAATGCTCGTACCTAAATATATTGTAGTTAATTAGTGACACATAAGCAAATATGTAAAAAAAAAAAAAATGTACCGAAAATTTCGTACCTAACTATTTGATACTAAACTAGTATACCGAAATGTCGGTACCTAAATATATTATACTAAACTAGTGTACCAAAATGTCTGTACCTAAACATATTATACTAACTCAGTGTACCGAAATGTTCGTACCTAAATATATTGTAATGAATTAGTGGCAAATAAGAAAATATGTAAAAACATAACTGTACCGAAAAATCTCTACGAAAATATTTTCTTATATAAGATGCTTACCATAATGAGAATTAAAATTTATAATATTTTCATAAAATTTATATTCATAAAATTATAAATAAAAAAAGAGACATTGAATACATATGTTGGCATTAAATAGAGTCTAAAGACTAAAATCAATTTTCAATTTTGTATCAGACATTTTCTAAACTTCATCTTATTTAAGAATTAAAATCTAGTTTTCTATAAAAGTAATGAAGTGAAATAGTTTTGTAGTATGATATGATAAAGTTGTAAATGATTTTGTTTTCGAATAATCAAATAACACATTAATAAAAACTAAAGTGCTTGATATTTTCTGGTTGATCAAATGACTTGTTATTTAAAACTACAGACAACAACTCCTTATTACACTTGGTTAATTAATCCCTAATCATCAACCCTAGCTCCGATACAGTTACCTTACCTAGACTCTGAAACGTCCAAACACAGGCGACCCAGACGCTGAAGCATTAACCAAATTGAGTATACTGTTCCAGTAATTCCTGTTCTCTTCAAAGCCGCGACCGCCGCAGCTTCCGTCGTCGCCACCATTTCCAGAGATCTCTCCGCCCAGCAACGCGTTCTGCTGATGATCCTCTGAGTCGTAAACCAAAACATCCGTGAAACCCTCCATGACCTTACTTGAGAGCTCAGCTGGCACAACCACATTCTCCTCCTCATCAACATTCCCTGACCTAAAACCGTCCGCAAACCATGCAGCACTAGCATCCGTACAACCATAGGTAACATTATCATTGTTCTGCAACACCCCGGACTCGCATGGAAAAACATTGTTTATGTTTAGCATGGGAGGAGGATTAAACGCGTTATTAACGTGCCTCAAGTGCAACGTGGACGTCGGAGATTCAAGGTCGTCCACGGCCGTCATAGAACCACCTGAAAACATTATACTGTTAACATTGTTTCTAATTGTTGAGTTTGTTGTCAACGAGCATCCCTCTCGCCATGCTTTGAGCACATCCAGGCACGGAAGCGCCGGCGGGGCGTTGCTGACGTGTACTACTTGGTGAGCAGGGTTGGGGGAGCTGCAGATCATGAGGTGGTGTTGGAAAGGGTTAGCGTTGGTGATGACAAGCTTGGATTCCTTGCCAAGTCTGGCCTCGGCTTCGAGCCTGGCACTCTCCCACTGCGCCATGTGGCTTATGTTGGCTGAGTCCTTGGCATAACCCTCGTGGTGCTTCAGCTTGTGAGTCATCGGGTCGATGCCCATCTTGGTTAGTCTCTTCTTGAGATGTGTGTTCCAGTAGTTTTTGATCTCGTTGTCTGTCCTCTTCGGCAAATGGCTTGCTATAGCTGACCACCTGAGATCAGTGAATTAATCATTGAGTACAAATCTAACAAAGTGCATACTATTTATCTTTTTTCATGGCTTAACATATAAAGGATTAACTAAATTAGTAATTAATTAATGATGGAGAAGATGAGGACAGTATTAGGACTGTGCGTGTTGTACTAATGGAGAAGATGGTAAAAGGAGAATATCTATATATTAGTACACACGTGTTAGAATTAGCAAGAATATACTGATATCAGTAATGTTAGGGAGACTAGATTTATAAACTAAATGATATGTCAACAATAAAAAATGAGCACGTTTATCAATGTTTAAGTAATAATTCAATCGTTAATTTACATGTCATTTAATTTATAAAATTTAATCTTCTTAGTATTACTCTAGTGATATTAATGAAGAAGATAATAAAGAAGAATATTATTACTATATACACACACACACACGTAGAAACAGATGTGATATACATGGGTTGAACGATGTATATAACTGGAGGGGAGAGAGAGAGAGAGAGAGAGAGAGTACTATATAGTCCTGTTGGAGTGCACGATGACATAGAGTCGTGATCAGTTGATCACTGTACAAATTACAAATTATATTTAGATATTAAAGTTAAATTAATTTACCTATTTCCGACAAGAGCATGGAGCTGAATGATGGTCTGCGCTTCTTGCA